TGTGGTGGTTAGCACTGTTGCCTCACAGCAAGAAGGTCCTGGGTTTGACTCCACCCAGTGGCCTTTCTGTGTGGAGTCTGCACGTTCTCCCCGTGTCTGCATGGATTCTCTCCGGGTACTCCGGATTCCTCCCACAGTCCAAAGACATGCTGTGGGGATCATGTTGATTGGTGACTCTAAATTGCCCGTAGGTGTGTGAGTGTGAATGGTTGTATGTCTCTGTGATTGGCTGACCACCAGTCCAGGGTGTACCTTGTCTATCCCCTGAAGTTGGCTGGGATAGACTCCAGCCCCCCCTGTGTGCAGGATAAGTGGTTTGCAGATGGATGGATGGTGCATAAAGACACTCTCCTGTGAAGCTGTAGGCCAGCAGCTGATTAGCATAGAGACTGGGAACACACCCATGAATCTTACAGTATGTACATATTTATTTAAAAAATATATAATTCCGTCAAGCTACTGAATTTTCTAAAATATTCATGCAATTAACTGTGAGTCATGCTACTGCTGTGGAAGTACATGCATTTTAATTTACTGATGCACTCATACCGAAATATATACATAACCAGACATCATAATGTCCTTGTGCCCCTACTAGTGCAGGACAGTAGAGACAATAATGACAGTTATGTAAGGAATAAGCTCTGAAATGGATCATAATCTGGGAAAAGATGGAGTCATACGTAACACATAATAGTAAGACTAATGAGGAATTTAAAAGCCAAGACCACTGCGGATTATTTGAGGGTGTGAAATCACTCATTTTTTTTGCACAGCATTTAAAAGCACTCAATTACAAATATGGCAAATTTCAATATGTTTTAGCTGTGGGTTAAATATAAGCTGTATAGCTGAAGAAAACTCCTTTATGCTCTTTCATTTCCCCCTTTCCTCTTTGTACATATCTGCAACCCGAACGGTGACTATACTGACTCCCTCTCTGATCCTTTGCTTTAATTATTCAGAGATCATAATGGTGTTTTTGGATAGTTTCTCCACACATCTGCTGTTGGCTAGAACTGAAGTTTGTTGAACTGTGTGTTCTGGTGCTTTGGAAACTTTGTTTTCTCGTTAACATTTCCACACAACTGGTCTTTGCGTGATCAAGTATTGATTCAGATATTTTTTTGATTTAGAAATGTCTATCCTTTGTCTTTCTTTCTGTCCGTCTGTCTTTTGTATTTATGTCTTTTTTCTGTCTCTTCCAAAATGCTCAAGAGACGGTTTGCGAAAACAAAACTGAATTAGATTCTTCTTTCAGCTTTGAACGCTGAATGGACAGGAAGATATCAGATAATAGCTTAGAAGGAAATAGATCAGTAATGAGATGGTGGAAGGAGGCCAGCCCAATCGAATCGAGACAACAGCCTTCTTTATGTTGATATATCACAGGGACTACAATCATACAATGTGTCACAATCCCCCACTGTGTGTAATAATCCGCTTCATGTGCACGAGGATTCAGTTTAGACATAAATGTGTCCATGTACACTGTGTTACGATGCAGAACATCCTTCAAATTGTTTACAAGAAAGAACTTTTCCAATGAGATTATTAAAATGAGGTAGTGAAAAGCCAACATGTGAAGTAAAAACCCAAAAGTCTCATCTCTGTTGTTCAATACAAGATGAGCATAAGAGAATATATAATAAGAGAGACATAAAGTTCCTCCTGCAGGGTTATTGTGGCTCAGCACATTAACTCTCTCTCACACACACACACACACACACACACACACACAGACACACACACACACACACACACACACACACACACACACACACACACACACACACACACAAAGCAGAGGTTGTGTCCCGTTCTGTAATTTCTGGTCCATTTCAACCAGTGGTTGTGTCTAATACAGGGGCTGCTGAGTGTAGCTGTGGACACAAGGAGTCTCCATCAGCTTTGGTGATATCTTGGTGAGTCTTTACATCTTAGAGTTGAAGGTACTGTCAGACATTTGAAGTGGTTATGAAACAGACTAAATTAGATGATGATGTGACTTTTATGTAAACAACATCATCAGAGAGAAGACTGGCTATTACTTTATAAGTCGTCCTCAATATTCGATATCGGGCCACTGGTTCAGATTCCAGCAGAAATCTGGTAGGAGCCAGCACGTTCCACGGCAGTGTTGTAGACTATCCAGCATTTAAGTGAGAGGACCTCTAGCACTTCTAACCTCTTTAACAGCTATTGATACTGCTGTCTGGGTTGATTACATCTTTCCCTCAGCCATAATGCAACTAATTGAACGAATCCGAGACACTGGGTCACTGCCGTCAGTGGGAGACGGCAGAAGCCTCTGTGCCTCTCTCCGTGGTGCTGAAAACTTCAAACCAATGACCAACGCGAGTGGCCCCGGTTTGAGTACCGTTGGTGAAATGAGGAGCAATACGTTGTGCTCTGCATTAGCAGAAAGCATACTTGTACATTTCAAAATCCAGACAAATAAAACCAAGGAAAGGCATTTGTTGTGCAACAGATTTCTATCACAGCTTGATTTTCTCTCAAGGGTGGAAAAATCCTAAACCAGATTTGGCCAGAACAATGGGTTTATTCAAAGGTGAACTTTTGTGCCTTTTGACAGGAAACTGAAGAAAGAGGCTTCAATGCCTCATAGAATTTGATAAATTCGGTTTGTACTGCTGCAATATGCAACTCAGATCTGTGCGTCGAGCTTCGGGGTGAGGGGAACATGTGTAATACAAAGGATGAGCAGCAACCGTCTGCAAATACGAATATAATATCAAAAAAGTTCCATTCCTTTGTGTGCTACTCTTTTACTGCCTGAGGGCAAAGCACCTTAGCCTGGGAGCAACGGGACGGTGAGCTGCACAGGGGGCTTCTGGGTGTTTAGACATCGAGCTGGTGGTTAGGGACCTTAAATTGAACAAGGAAACGGTTGTTTTAATTTTTAATTATGAATATAAAATACTTAATAGGAATCATTCTGATCTTAAGTGGAAACACCTAAAACCATTTTTGGAGTGGGAAAAAACTAACATGTTGCTGTTCTTATGGTCCTCTGCTGCCCTCTGGTGGTGATCAATAGTACTTTGTGTTACAACCTCAATTAATATCCTCAAAAAAATGAGCTCCATGGGGTCCAACAGTATTTGCTATTATGTCACCTAGACCATACTTGTTTTTCTGTAGTTATTGCTTTTCTGTTTTTCAGATTGAAAAATAGATGTGTGCTGTGAATGAGTGCTTTTATGTACCTCTACTCAAACCGTATGCTTCATTTTAAGAAGGCACAGGCAGAATTTGGGCTAATTCCCTCCACACAGGGTGGATTTTATGAATAAGTCTGTCCCACCTCAAGTCCCACGGAACACGAGCCCGTCGGCGAAGAAGGGCCCCTCTCTGCTGGGTGATTTATCTTCTCTTACCTCTAAATAACGCTCATCCTCTGAGGCCTGAGAGTCCATTTTCTAACCCACACTGTATTTAGAAATTGGTGTCAGAAAGAACAGGAAGCTTTTAAGAAATGAAGATATAACTGCAGATGATTACTCACTGTCCACACCACGGGGACAGACTTGATTGGTAACACGTGACTTCTCTCCTGAGGAAAGCTGCTCGCAGTGATATTTATACTTTATCTTTGTGCATTGTGTAAAAAACAAACAAAAAAACAACTTGACCGGATTATTCTCAGTCCTCTGAACGCAATAAAAGATACAGAACAGATGGGCTGTATTATTATTATTTTTTAATCTTTGTGGGAGACTGCAGAGGTGATAAAAGATGAGCCATTGTTCTGAATTATCATTTGTTATTTCGCTCGTGTCCCACAGCGACGGCTCAGTCAGATAAGAGCAACCTTCTCCATCTCTCGGTGGGGAGATAAGAGACTCAGAATTAGTCTGGAAAGCGAGCGGCCTCGGTGCGCCTGATGCATCTCTCTATTGTGCTTCCTGTAGAGGCCGATAGCCAAAGCGAAGGTGAGGCATACAAATATTTTGATGGCTTCTTTGGGATTTTCCATACAAGGAAAAGACAAAATAGCTCTAAATGAATATACATTATACGTGTATGTATGGATACATACACATTACACGTGTACTTATGGATCAAAGCGGTGACTTCGTTAGTTGGGATTTATTCTAATGTAGGACTTGCGGTTTGGGGAAATGGCTCCTTGGTGCACGACAGCATTAAACGTACCTGCGTGAAGATTATTTTAGGAACTTGGGATATTTAAATCATTTCGAAGGTAGTGAAGAACTACGGATGACCTTCACACCAGGCTGAGGGCTATTATTCGAAAATCTGTGGCCTCTTTTCCTTCCTTTTGTGTTGAAACTCACTCAAAAGTTTCATGACAAACATGCTGAAACAAAATCCTAACTCAGGGGCTAACTTGCTTCCTTCCTGATGGACATAAAGGCTTTCACACCCTATTATATATATATATATATATATTAATAATAATAAGTAATAATAATATATATAACATATATATATATATTATTTTATATATATATATATATATATATATATATATGGTAAATTCTGGTGCCTGTGGTTGGTGTTGGTCGCGTCCTAATTAGTCATTTTTTTGAAACTCTAAAACAAAAATGACCCAGCGTTGCATTCTTTATTCTTTGGACTCATTTGTTGGAGAGCTTCGATGCTTCACTCACAGCCGACCGGCACACAGCGAGCACAAACGGTGACTCATACGGGCATTTATTCAAAATGAATCAGTTGTTGTTTCTGCATAATATTTTGTGTGGCAAAGGGTTTTCTTTTGAAGGGGAGGAAGAAGGGTTTACAGCAAACATGTTAAAGCTCTCAGGAATTGATCAGTTAATCAGCACAAATTGCAGGAATATCATTAGCATGTGATCGTTTATTAACTTCAGATTTTATTCCCGGCTCGAAACATTGAAGTCAGTAAAAACTGCAAATGAATAAGTGAATGTGTTCAGATAAGCTGAAACGTTAAATGAAGCAGGTCGGAAAGAACAAAATCTCAAACCAACGCTTATTAAAAGATTATTTTATTCACAATAGAAGTGTAACAAATATAGTTTATTAAAAAGTCTCCTGCTTATTAATATCATTTTAATCGATAAACTCAGAAGATTTTTTTTATATAAATGTAGAACGGCCCATTTGCCAGAACGGAATATTTACATTTTTCAATAATATTAACACAATAAAACAGATTTCCCCACAAAATTAAGATTTTGCATTAAAACGCAACGTAAACTATGTGCAATGGAATGATTATCAGCAATATTTTGTACAGAAAGATTTCTGAGGTTGATTTCACATAAGTAAACCTTTAAAGGGAAACGCCAACCGTTTTACAAATTCTGTCTATGTTGACCGGTCAGTTATGTAAAGTGATCAAACACCACTCGGGTGAAGATTAAAGATTTCAGTGTTCATAAATTAGAAGTTTCCCAAGTGGTGCCTGTTCACTAGGATCCACTTCTGTTAGAATTCATAAGTTGGCATTCCCCTTTAATATCCACCAATAAACAGTCATTGGAACGAAACAGATCATCAACACAATATTCAGAAAATCACCAAAAAGACATTTCAACCTTGTTGGAAAAAAAATCAAAATAAATTCTGCGTATGGAAACGAGCGTGATGTCACTCTGAGGCGGAAGCAGATCTCACAGCGACGGCTCAAACGGAAAAAGCTTCCTCTTTAGGACCGGACCGGCGTCCCGTGAGCGGAAACCACAAAATCTGCTCATGTTCCCCAGCGCGGCTCCCAGCGGATATCCAACCGCATGTCATCACGCCTCTAAAGATTTGAATCTCTGCGAGCTGGTGCAGCTGACTCAGTGTCTCCATTTCAACCAAAACTGAGATGAAGCTCAGAAGCAGCTTCTTCTCTGTATTCGTATAAAGCAGTTCTGGTGTCTCCACACTACTGTACAGTGAAGGATACAACAGATCTGGCTTGTACTTTGTTGCTGAATATTCCTGTACCTCCATGGTTCTCCATCTGTGTCGGACAGGAGAACAGTGTAATGTGCAGCGATTGGCCTCGCATGGCGGACGTGGATCACTTCCTACATTAACGGCATGTCGTCGCTGCTTCTTCTCCGCCTCGTTCATGCATTTTTGTGCTTTCCGAGATGACACAAAGCAAAAACAAACAAACCCAAAAGCACAGAGAAGTGAGCACAAAGAGCACAAAAAGAAAAGAAAAAAAGCACATAAAATATTCTTCACTTCACATTGGATGGTACATTCATACGATTCAATCCTGCTGTAAAGTTGTTTGGTTGATCCCAGGTTCATCTCTCTGGAATCAACCAAATTATTCTGCTAACATCACTTTAAAAGGTTGCATGTGTAGCAACAGTTCCTTGCCGATAGCATCAGTATGTATCTCTATATCTCTAAACATCTATATGTGTAATCATCTTGAGACATTGTGTAATGTACATTGTTGAATCGTTGATGTCAACAAATAAAAGACCCAGAGGACCTTTTAATCGTGTTCCGACATCAGTTCGGAATGTCTTTTTTCTTTCTTTCTTTCTTTTTTTATTAGGTGGACAAATATGCAATTGCCCACAAAAGGTTTAAGGTCCAGTTATGAAGCCACAGTGCCACCTGGGTGTCAGCTTCCAAACCCTAAAGTCCTCTGTTCACCTCTACAGAATAAATTAACACAATCAGCAAAAATCAACGGTTACAAGACAACACCACATGGGTAATAAATGCCTCCGAATCAACTGGAACCAAACAAACACCAGGGATTAAACCCGAGGACGCGGCCGTCTGTACAGTGAGGAGCACAGCTCAGCTTGTGTTGGACATCCAGCTAAGCTTTGTGATCAGTGTTTGCAGCTCAAACTCTTTGTATTTGAACATTTCCTTATGAAGCTGAATGAGTGAGTCTCCTAACCCTTTTCGCTTCTACATTTAGACAGCTTAATAAAGTGTAAACTACTCATCACAACGTCTTCCAACAGGTAAATCAACAGATTTGGATGTACGGGGCGTTCCACTTGAGACTTGACTCCATCACAGCATTGTTTGGTTCAAATTTGGTTTAACGCTAAAACCACGAGTCCCAGTAGCATCTAGCAGGTGTCCCCAAAAGATTACGGACTTTTCCTTTTCAAACCGCCAAAAAGGAACCGAATAGAAACTCTTAAAAGATCCAGGGATGCAGATTTAAAATTGAGGGATTTAAGACTTCTTCCAACAGTTTGGAAAATCAACAACATCATTTAATAGTGCCCGATATACATGTGATTCCCACCAGAATGTTTGACTCCAGACAGGTGTTACTCAGCCCAAGATCCCACCACTAGATGTCAGTGTGGGCCAGGGAATCAATCCCAGCTTTTAATCACTGCCCTCTGGAGCCAGAAAAGAATCACTTTGTCATCCTCAGATGGACCTTTGGACTTTGGGCTACTCTTAAACCAAAGCTACAATACATATCAAGTCCTAAAAAAGCAGAAATTCTCCGTCAGTGTGTTGTTTTGCTACGATCCTGAAGGGACAGGGGGACTTTCACTCCGAGTGTGAGCTGCTGCTGGCTCCGACTCCCCGTTCCCAATAGTGAAGGCACTAAATGGAAAACTAAACTGGATTTGATCCGGCTGCAGAGAAATCTAACTCCAACTAAATAACCCACTTGGATGATTTGGTAGTTTGAGGAAAAATGACCAACGGCAAGAACACAATAGTTTTCACGGTAGCGGAATGGTAAAGCTGCTTGGAGTCAGCGTGGCTTATGCAGAGGGGGGGGGGGGGGGGACTGTGACAAGATCCCCTCACACAAGAGGGAAAGTCCTGCAGGGCGCCCCGTGCGACAACCGGGGGACGCATAAAAGAAGCAGGGTTGGTTGTACAGTTTGATCTTTGGGGGAGACTTTCAGTTTGAGTTCTTACAAGCTTCTTGGTATTAACATCTGCAGAGAGTGTTTTATGGGATATCGATACCAAACGTATTCCTTTCAATATCCGCAGGGCTCCTCGACCTAGCACATCTCACAGTCAAACGCATCTTCATGCTTTTTACTGTCAGAACCCTTTAATCACTTTTTTTTGTTGTTTTTTGGCATTGAATAAAGCCCCGTATTCGTCAATCCCCTGAATTATGTGAGGAGGAGAACAAAATCTAGGTTCCAAAAAGCGAGACGAAGACCGGGTGAGAGGTGGTGGTGGTAGCGGGCCTGGGGAGGGAGTGAAATTACTGCCAGGCCGATACATCGTGCCTCAGCGGAAGGAAGGAGCAGTCGGCCATTTTTAAGTCCTGCGGGCCTTTAAAAAGCGCCTCGCCTTCGCTTCCACGGAGACAACCACGCATTTAAAAAATAAAGGCTGCAGGCCTGGAGGTGCTGGCACAGGAGGAAGCGGTGCTCGTCCAGATGTTGAAGCGGTAGGAGAAGCGGACGGAGCGTCTTTCTGCTCGCCATGTCGGCCTCGTGACCCTCCGATGAGACTGCGTTTTGGTGCCCGCAGCTCGGGTCCAAAATATCCACGTGAGGGAGATGACGGATAATCACATCTGTCAGTGTCCTGCTTCACAAAAAACTTGAGCTACTAAAAACAAAATCACAGAGGAATAATGCAACAATGGGTCAGATTGGGCCCTCTGAAGGAGATCAAAACAACGAGGGGAGAACGAAAATCGCCACGTAAGGGAACGACACAGTCAGAGTGTGACGCGCTCATGATGCATGAATGTAAAAAAACACCCACTGATTTCTGTTTTGACCCCCCCCCAAAAAAAAGATAAAGTGAAAACCCAATCAAAGGGCACCTGCAACGTTCGGGGATCCAAATGGCTAAAGTGGTGTCACACGGACGTCTGCAGGCTCAGGCGTACAGGATCACAGGTTCTCGCGTGCGTCAGGGCGTCGGCGTAGGGCTACTCCACCTCGTTGGGGATGTCCGTCTTGTCCTTCTTGAGGACGGGCAGAGGGTGAGCCTCGGTGTTGAACACCCAGTGGTCGAACGGCAGGTGGTCGTCGTCGGAGAAGAGCAGGTAGAGATACCTGGAGGAGACAGAGAGGGAAGAGGTTATCGCGAGGAGATGTACCCGTTAACACAGCATGTACACTGTAGGCGCCAAAGTAGCATGTGCACTTGGACACGCCCCCAAAACTTACTATTCAAGTGTGTCCCAACGACACAAAAATACCATGGGAAAGAAAAAATTTGGGCTGACCATTTTGGGGAAAGAACCAGATGAGTTATTAGAGAAGTAGAATTGCCGCATTGCGGCTGAATGCCTCATTCAGGCCAGTCACGTCTGTCCAAAATATCCTTTCTTCCAACTCGCCATTCATGTGAGATTGTTATGTCCAAAAACCTGCTTTGTGAGGTCACAATGACTTTTGACCACCACATTCTGAATCAGCTCACGCTCGAGTCCTGGTGGACGTTTGTGCCACATTCGAAGAGACTTCCTCCAGGTGTTCAGACGCAAGGTGACCTCGATATTTAGAACACTTCAGCCCGGCGGCGTGGTGCCGCAAGCGGCAGACTAATTATGTGGGAGTGTATTAAAGAGTCGGGTCCCGGCGAAGAGCCCTGTGTTTGGGGGAAGTGGTGAGAATTCGCCTGGGTAACTGAGACTTGGATCCGACCCCAGCAGCTGTGTGCGAGCTCGTAAGCGGATGCTTGGACATCGTTTTGCTGTTGTTAAACCCCCAACTACAGAAAAATTCATCTGCACTTTTCTGTTTTCTTTTCTCCGCTCAGCATAGAGTCTCGCTATAAAAAAAGACACTTTTGTTCAAGACTAACACGATTGATGTACAAATGATCAACTTGAGGGGGAAGTATTCCCTTAAGTGTCTGAATTGTGCAGATAAAGCATCACTTCCATCACTCCAAGAGCTAAGAAATGGCAGGCTTCTAAATGTGGATGTTACTGAAGGTTCCCCACCGGATAAAGTCTACTTTCATTTGACTATAATACTTACACAAAGAAAAATAAAAGCTCTGGAGAAAATGTGTAAGTGGATTTAAAGTTAAAGGTCTTTTCTCTTTGTCAAATCATACTATTAAATAAACATGCCGAAGATGACTCATTCTGGGATCCGACCCGTTCCGTAAGTGTTTTGTTTTTTGTGTTCGGCTTTTGCAGTATTTAAAGGCAGTCCTGCCAAAAGAAATATGGAACAGATGTGAAAGTGAGGGGGATGGGGGGGACACGGGGGGTTGCTTGGGCCAACATCAGTTTATGGAGTCAAATGGCATCAAAGCTTATGAAATGAGGACGGCCCACCGGCGAGTCAATAGAGGGAGTCTTTGGACCGCCAACCACTTCAGTTCATTCACTTCATTTCTTCCCCGCCGGTAAGATGCATGAAAAGAAACGCGTTCCCCGAGATTTGTCTGACTCAAGAGAACCTCCACGAGCTGCTTCCTGCCAACAAGCCGGTGGGGGAGCGGTGACGGATTGAGGGGCCAACGGCGGCGTGAAGTATGGCCGCGTCCTTGGCGGCGGCGCCCAAGATGGATCCTGGAAGTGGATGAGAGCGATGCCAAGATCCCAGAGTAACATTATTTATGGCCCTGCTGCTAAATGGGATGGATATTTTCCACGTCAGATGTCGCCGATGTGACCGATCGCTGCGTCGCTCTCCACGCCGGTGGTCAATTGCCCTCGGATGGTCGACATTTTATCACAGCGATAAAAGTTATTCGTGGTCTTGGCTTTTTCACACTGTGGAAGGATTTCTAACAGCCTAATCGAAAGTCCCGGGGCTGCTTGTAAAAAACGCACTGCCTGCGAGTAGAAAGCTGGACTGGGCGGCGCTCTGCCCCCTATCGGGCTCTGCTGGGCCTCCGCTGACCCTGACTTCATGTCAACAGCTGTCTGGTGTGGTGGGAGGGGAAGAAAATTATTGAAGAAGAGGAGAACGGGGGAAGGGAGAGATGGGGGCCCAACGTGTTTTGGTGGAATTGGACGAAAGGGGAAGTTGGGCAGAAGAGCAGCAAGGCCAAAAAAACATACTAACACTACCTCTTTTTTATATTTAATTTAATACAGCTGAGAAGTTCTTCTTCTCGGAGCTTCTGGGTGGTCGAAGGGTTCAAGCATAGAGTCACTGTAACACCCCCCCAGAGTGAGTCCACGTACCAGGGACCTTCTGAGATAAATCCTGCACTGCTCTCTTTATCATGTTGCTTGAAAGGCCTCCCTTACTGTGTTAGTGTGAGATACTGTGTGCAGAAGAAGCCTTTCCGGGGACCGTGGCAACTCTGTGGACTCACAGTCTGAATGAATGACGACGTCATCATACTCTGTGCGAGATGTGTCTGTCTGTTGGGGGATCCAGAGAGCTTACCTCTCCATGAAGTGCAATGACAGCACGATCACAAGAGGACAGGAGTGGAGGGAGCGTGAGCGCGTGTGTGTGTCTTACTTGAGTGTCTCGGCCAAGTAGAAGCTCTGCTGCACGTCGTCGTGGTTGGGGGCTGAAGCGTAGACGTCTCTGACGCCGCTGTAGCCTCCTTCTACTCTGCAGTGCTGCTCTAAAGCCTGAGAGGAGACGGAGACATCAGTGACTTTCCACATCAATCAAACTCTTCATGTACTAAAATACGCTAAACCTCACTGCGGATATTTGCTAAATATAACAGCGGGTTAAACAAATTGACCTCCTGTAAGCTTCCTTCCAGATTTCTCCTGAATGAATCGTAACAGTTATCCAAAAGAACTTACTTTACTTCACCAGCATCTCTAATTAAATGCAATATGCAGTTTTTTTTAAACATTGCCACACTTTTGCTAGATACAATAATGACAAAAATCTAAATGTCTATCTGAAACTAAATCTAATGAGAGAAAGCAATGTTTTACCTGAACAGCCTCCCAGCCCCACTCCCTGTATTTGGGGTCGTGGGTGAACCTCCACATGTACATGTAGGTCTCGATGACCTCGGGACGGAGGATGAAGTATTTCTCATTCTGGCGAGTGGCGATAGCCTCGACTCCGCCGTCAAAGCGGAAGGCTTCGGGTCCCAGCTTCAAAGCTGGGGAGGAGAAAACAGGGTGGATGTAAAGCAGCAGAGAGTTAGATGTCATCCTCCTCACAGACAACAAACCTACTGTGAGATATTTGACATATATATGACAGACAACATTTACTCGGTTATGGTACAGTCTCTATGTAAGACTATATGATCTACAGGAGAAAACGCGACCATCAAGAATATCGTCTACTTCTAGTTATTCAGAGGAAACAATTTACAACGGGTTAATCCGAAAATCCAGCTCAGAGGAATGTTACGCTTTACTCAATGTTCCCTTGAAAAAAATAAACTCTTGTTGATACGTCTCCAGGGCTTCATTTGAAAAACCGTGACTTATAATATGACTTTAGAAAAATACAACAATTTGATGAAGATGAAAAATAAACAACAAGATTTGGTATTTGGTGGTGGATTAAAATATGACTCTTTTAAATAATAAGGGTTTTCTTCATATTGATCCTAATTTGATGGGAAGTGTATAGACCGCAATCAAAAACCTGACATCTCTTACTTTAGAAATGCCAAGATGTGGTCACTATAACAATTAGAACTTGATAATAGGACACAGGCCAGTATTGTATACGTTTATAATACAACATATTTGGTCCCAAGTACTAAATCCATGGAACACTGGGAATGACTACAACATTTAGATTTCACTGAAACCCCCATTCCCTAATTTACTGTGAATGATCGGAGAAAACACAAATCTCAAACCAGGAGGAGAATGTGACCAAACGTCTAAAATCCAAACAAGCTGTCAAACTTTACATGAAGTTCCCACTTACCGGTTCTGGCGTAGGACTCGTGACAGGTCCGGGCGATCTCGGCGGCCTGCTCCATCTGGTGGCCCGTCTTGTCGCCGGGCGCCCCGTCGGCACCCAGTGCGATCATGCCCCCCGCGAAGCAGGTCAGGTGGCCCATCTTGTGCTCCAGCAGCCCCCCCTTCCACTCGGCTATGTAGGTCAGCCCGCTGGTCGACTTTCGCATCAGGTTGGTTTCTATCGCCTGGGAGACGCAGAGTGACACAGGGCTTCATCAGAGGGGGGCGAGGAGTGGTAGACACGATGGCGTCACGAGAGCAGCGCCCACTCCTCCTTTATTCGGGTTTCCTCTAACTCACTGATATACAAATGGTATACAAATGGTCACAAATGGTCACTTTTCAGGACAAAGTACTCCTGCAACAGTTCAGGGGCTCAGATGTAAATTCAATTGTTAAGAAAAAGTTAAATGGCAATTGTTCTTTCCAAAATAAACCACTTGGTTTGATGTTGTACCAGATTAACAATTAATAATGAACTGCGGCCCAACGTCGGTTTTCAATGGAAAAGAATGAAGCGACTTAGTGCCTGGTCGTTAAGGGATGTGCGCTGGTGAAAATGTGAATAGTTTCATCCATAAAGACTAGACTGCTTCCACTAGAAGAACCTCTTCTTACATTACATTACAGGTCATTTAGCAGACGCTTTAATCCAAAGCGACTTACATTACACTTTAAACCCATGGCTTTATCACTTTTTTTTTTGCCCGGGGAGCAATTAGAGGTTAGGTGTCTTGCTCAGGGACACTTCGACATGGAACATGGGGCAGCCTGGAATCGAACCAACAACCTTGTGCCTTGTACCTTGTGCACCTTCTCTAACCCCTGCGCCACGACGACCATCATACCAAAGTGGTCCTAAGGACACTTGACCCTTTAAAGACGTAGCCTAGGTCATCGCATCATTTCATCAGCCATGACAATCCACTCACTCGCTTCACGTTTATCTGCTGGGCAAAGAAATCAAGGAGGCCTGTAATCCTCCAATCAGGAGGGATTATGAGTAAGGAATCCCTGCGTGGTTAATGCTGCATTTTAGTTGCCATGGAATATATTTGCTCCCCAGAGTGCCAAAGAGAAACAATCTGGCGAGCCAGCTCTCTCCAGCTGAGACCTGTCCCCACAACTTAAGTTGACAATTTGTTTTGAGCAGAGAAAAAGCTGTCTGCATGTCTGTGAGTCGTCTACGTATTCACTTCAGGGGGCTGTCGTTTCATCTGTTACTCGTCTCCCTCTGCTCGTGCCGCCGTCTTTCATCCGCTCAACTTCGCCATGTGGCTCCCACAGAAAGAATATAAGGCAAAACGTTAAATATCTGTCGGCATGCCGGCGGTTGCGGGGATGGATAGTAATCACAATATGGCCGCTGGAAGCCAAATAAAACTCCACATGAGTGGAAACGAACTTAATTTAGCAAAACACCGCTTACGATCTCAGTCGACCCAGGAAATGTTTATGTTGATTACGTGTCATCATGTAAATTATTGCTTTTATTACCTCATGAGCTACTGCTTCAAGGTTGTTTCGGCGACTGGATGACTTTAATATCTCTCCTGCAGGGGAGGAATAAATACAGCGCACATCCCTCCCATTTCTGAGGCTGACCCCGTGTTGGTTGTCTGCTATTATCGTTATTCAGCGGCTTTTTGTCACCCGTGCAGCAGCTGCCGGTCCGTAAACACCACGATCGAACCTTCACTTACATCATACATCCTTGATCCTCTAGTGGTAACCTGCGTAGTGTGACACCACAATGCTGTACCTCTCTCAGCCGCGCAACACGCCGCACTTCTCCGTGGTAGAAGTGCAACAGATTGGGAGTGACAGCCCGCGGAGATCAGTGCTTTAACATCACACGGTGGTGCGAGACAGAAAAAAGGTGCTCAACACCGTTCACAGATGGTGCGTTTAGGGACCTGGAGACAGGTGATAAATGATGACTTCTGTTCTCAGTCAGGAGAGAGGACTAACACAAACTAACAACTTAGTCAATCCAAACTAAGTAAAAAAGTAATTGAGCCTTCTTAGGTTCTGCACTCTCAGTATTCCAACTGATCTCTTTGATATCTCGCCTGTAGCTGGAAGCGTTACCACCGACTGACTTTGTAATATAGAAGGATGGCAACAAAACCCTGATATCCTATTTGAAGAGGAGGAGAAGAAGCTGCCTCTAATTTCAAGAGACAATAATACAAAATGTGGAATATGCATTGAATAGTATAATGACTTCCTTATTTCAAGGAGCACGATGCTGTCACTAAATGATTTAGATAATATCTATTATACGCTACGGGGAAGTCTACGACTGAGCGACAAATAGTTCTGCCTTCATCAAGTCAGCCCAACCCTGAATGAAGAGATTTCTGGTGTGTGTGTGTGTTACCTGCAGGGCATCATAATACATCTTCTTGCCCTCTTCGTCAGCCTTGTCAGACATCAGCCAGGCCTTGAGCAGGTACTCATAGAAACTATCCCCTAGGCCCCCGACGGACACGTGATCTGCAAGACACCGACAAAACAATGAATACATCACACACACACACACACACACACACACACACACACACACACACACACACACACACACACACACACACACACACACACACACACACACACGGCCTCTACATGTATGATGCTGATTAAAACCATTGTACTGCTGTGGTTTTGTGCGCACGTGCTAAGCCTGCAGCGAGCGGCCCGTCTGTACTCGGCCTTGTGTGGCCGGTGAAGGCTCATCCATATGGATGTGTCATTAACGGAGTCCGGCCCTGTTTGTGCAGCGCAGAGATTAGATGTCAGCGGTGATCATCTTGAAGAGGAAAAGGAAGCAGGCTGGCGGTGGAGATGGGCCGCTGCGACCCCCCCGTAAGAGGATCTGACCTTCTGAGAGTTTAATATTACAACAATTGTTGAAGCGGGCGCGCCACGCGATGCGGAGAGACGACGCACGCTTAAAATAGAGCTGTCTGACTTCAGGGAAGATTCACAAGTAAACACATTTCTGATCCAAACTTGGAAGCGCAGAGAAGGTGGATACGATGACTCAGCATACATCACATATACACACAAACAGCTGTTCGCATAAAACGTAGAGAAAAAGCTGAAACATGGGTATGTTGAGCACATGAAAGCAGCACGTCTGTGAGGCTGTGGTGGAGAGATATCTTTCAGACAACGTTTGGTTGCAAACGTCCCTGGGTCATAATTTATTTAACAAATGCATTCCCATCGCTATTGCATAATGTCTTTGTAGAGGAAAAAAAACTTTCGGCCTGAGACGAGCATAAAAGTGGGTTTTTTTTGTGATTGAGGATTTCTTTTCCTTTCTCGGTTTAAACTTGGTGCTTCTATTCAACATTCCTAACCGGGTATGTTATCATTTGCATAAGCACTTGGATGAGAACACGGTCCCTCTGGTTAAGAGTGTCTGCTAAATACCAACAATTACAACTGTGGATGCGCTTTCAGTAGCTTCATTCAACGTTTCATGCATTGGATAATGAAAGTAAGTAGATCAGAGCTGCAGCTCCATATTTAACCATCACAAAGCCCTCATGGCTTCAAGATCAAAAGAAATGGAACAGGACTCTGAAACATGTCGTTGGGAATAACAAAAGTATTTTAAAAAATTGATTAAAAAAAAGTCTAATTTAAGGCCACTATGTTTTTTTGAGAAATGTGCCCTTTTTCTGGTGGAAAAAAGGAGATGAAATGGGTATTAAAGCATACTACGTATGAAAAACTATAAAGTGTCATTTCATATGACAATTTCTGCTGATTTTTAATTTCCTTTTCCACCTCTGCGTGTGCCCTTTCCTCCTGATTTAAACACCACGTTCTGACAACAGTAAATTACAAAGGAAATCATGTTTCTGTACCACTTTGTATGCAAAATACTGCCTCAAAGAGTCAGATTTTTTTAATTCAGTATTGGTCTAATTTGCCTAATCTTCGCAATTATTGGTTGGCAGCAGTAATGAAACTCCAGCAGCACTAATTGTTTTTCTGAGCCTGTTCCTGATGTTGTGTTTGTTTTGCAACGCGACCAGTCGAGGCACAGCCCCGTCCTGCTGGGGGTTTCTGCATGTTTGAAGGAAATCGGTCTCTGTGAATCACGTTATGAAGAGAAGTACGAGCTTGACTTCTCTTTGGATTTGGCACGGTGTAAATATTGAGGTCCTGTGGCTCCAAAGTTACTAGTACTATTTAATAACAAAAAGTCCACGTCAAAAAATCGGTGCTACTACACTATGTTTGTCCACTATACAGATGGAAAATTAACATGCTACATACAGTATGTGTTTTTCTCTGCCATCTCCCCGGGTATTGGTGGCGAGAACCTACTGTCTCTTGGCAGTAACTTCATATGTCAGACTCGGTAGAATTGCCCCCAAAAACTTGCCACTTTGAGTGTGTTCTAAAAACACATTTTTGCCCTCCAGCGGAAAGCTGACTTAAGAATAAATGTTGAAAATGGATTTAGATACGCATTCCTATCTTGTCAGTGTCACTTTAATTACATGTACTCAGCCAGCAGGTTTCTCCGACGTACGACGCATGGCATTAGGAGAGGCTTCTACCGATGGGTTCTTTCTCACAGACGGAACCGTACATTCCTCTCGTTTCCCCTGAACACCTGCCTGCACACCTGTTCTTCCAAGCCTCACCTCAATATTACCGGGTTAGCTACTTGGTTTGAAGAGTCTGATAATCGATTCAGATCATACAAGACTGTAGTTCGGGTGAAGAAGTGGGTGGCAGCAATAAAGCTCTCTAAAAGAGAGAGAGATTTTTTTGTTCCACTGGAGCAATGTCAAATGATTCAGTCGGTCATCATATATGACGTCAATATCAAAAACAACAGTACTGTGAGGGGTCAGGACTTCGACTCAGGTGCAGAGCAATAAGGCAACAGAAACTTCTTTCCAGGTTTGGGATCTTTTACTAGGAAAAATAAACTAATGCAAGACAAAGGGGGCACAGGCAAAGGCGGAATCCACACGCTCTTGTAGAAACAAAAAGGAAGAGAGCCTGGAAACGAAGTAAAAACAAGATTATCAAAAACAGCACTGGGAATGTCAAACTACAAACATGCACCTCAAGGAAAGACAAAAGATAACCTGACACAGACAAGTGGGGAACTGATGCTTAAATACAGGTGGAGGTGATTGCAAACTGAACTCAGCTGTGGGGAGAAACGAAGGGTGAGAAACTAGATACAGAAAGTGCCGTGGTTACAAAAATAAAAACAGGAAGTTAATCTACAGTCTCTTCGAGTCGTCACAAGTACTCCCACAGTAAATGAAAAAGGAAGAATAATGACTGATGTACAAACTGGGTAACAGATTGAGAGGGTTGAGAGCAAGTTGAACTAAATATCACTAAATACCGAATGATATAATTCAACATTACGTAACTAGTAGAATAAATAACGCAAAGTCGGACTGTTCTATAACTAACCGATTGAACTGTGATTTTATTTATGTATTGTTTGGTCCATTAAAAGTGATGAAAACAGGGAAAACTATGTCTCCATTGCAGTTCTCCAAACAACAAACAGATGTATTCAAATTGTTTGTTTTGTTAGGAGGCATCCAGTTTTCCATGATAGAAAGGAAAATAAAAGATTTTAATATTCACAATGTAAAAGCTGAAGATAAAAAGAAGTGGTTTACAAAAAGACCGGGGGGATAGATTAATCAGAGCAGTCACTGAGCAAATTTGTATTTATGGACTAATAAATTGATCAACTTATCCGCTCAGCTCTACTCAACATGGACAGCATCCATACTAAGTAGTTGGATCTGAGGGCTCCAATAAGACGCTCTAGAAACTGTGGCAGGAGATTATTTATGTACATAATTGGCTTCAAGTTCATCACCTTCCAAATGTGTAATAGATGATCTGAAGCCAGTGTAATACCAGAAGGATATTTGCATTCCTGCTTTTTTTCAGTAGAAATTACAGGTGTGGAACAGTTTCCTTTGAAAGAACAGCATTAAGTGCATTACAGGAATCCAGACAAGTAGTAATTTGCAGGCATTAGCATTTCAGCGTCATCTAAAGGAGGAGAATGGTCAGATAGGTCAAACCCCCAGTGGCATTTTTAAAGTGCTCATTTTTATAAATGTTTCTGTTATCAGCCTTCAACGTCCAGGTTATGATTAACCGAAAGACATTTCAGCTTGTGCTTTTTTATGTTAATCTCCCCGTATTTATCCATCTCTTCCCCCTCTCTGTTTCACCATGAGCCAGACTTGCATCTGTGTGGCAACAGGGCAATAAATCATTAGACCAGCATGATGTTTGTAGGAGTTGGGAGGTAATAAATTAGCCCAAACCATCTTACTTCTGGGCTTACATGGATGATCCACTGAATTAAAAGCAGCTTGAAGGATTTGGGGTGCGATATGAAGGGTGAGGAGGACTTACGTTGGCCCCACTGGCCGCTATTGGGGTTCAGGTAATTGGGGTAAAGCCCCTGTGGTTTGTCCAGGCGATTCAGCACTTTCCGGATGTTCATCACCTGTTGATTGGGGAAGGGAGAAAGCACAAAATGCAACCGGTAACTTTACCCAGCTCTGCTCACTCACGTACATTACAACACAAACGGGTGCGTGAGTTTGTTTGTACCATTTGAAAATACACGGCTGTGTTTTATGTATTGTATTTTATCCAATCACTATATATATATATATATGGAAATATAATGGAAAGGGGGGGGGGGGGGTCTGGTTTGCGCTGCCCTTATTTCTGCTTGTGGAAATCCTGCGCTAACCCACCAAATAAGCGCGAGGAAGAGTCATGATTGTTACCTTCTGCTCGAAGTCAGGATTGCCTGAGAGCTTGCTGAGGTGCATGAACTCCAGATGCAGGGTGCCATACTCCGCCAGGATGCTGCTGCCGCCCGAAGCCCAGGGCCAGTTTCTGCCAATACCACTGGACAATAGATAGAAGGAGGAGACAAGAGGTTTGTGTTTAGAGGGTCTGCAGATTAGTACATCATGGGACATCTGTAATGTGCTCAGCCTCAAACACCTACACTTCTTTTCAAAGCCGTTTGCTTCGCAATAAATCGTATCAGTTCACGCAAGTGCATTGCTGGCAAAGACAATAGGTTACACAAAATCCTCAGCACACAGAAAACCTGCTCATCTCGGTATGGAAACGACGGCTGAACAGAGGCAGTAAATCCTCAACAAGTCGGACTCTCGGCAACTCAGCTGTCCTACTTTGAATTGTGACGACTAATTAAATATTCCTTTGATTTACTCTGTATTTTAAAGAGACGTCTTTTCCTACAGCGACATTTATTCTTAAAATGGACAAGGCTGAGTTACATTAGCGACTAAAAGCTAACCTCACACTCCATCCGTCATATTAATGGGTGCATTTGTTCCCGTTTAACTCTAACACGCTTGACTTCGTATCCTTGCTGGTGCTTCGAGGTCAGTCAGCCAGAAAGCGTGGACCGGACTCCCGCACCTGCCGTTGCCCGTGGCGACGATAATAACTCCTCGACTTTAAAGCCGCCTCGACCCCCTGACCATATGAGAGTTGCCAACCTCTGGCAGGTTTGGCAAGGACAGAGGACCTAGCAGCAGGGTGTGTGTGTGTGTGTGTGTGTGTGTGTGTGTGTGTGTGTGCGAGATCATTAAAAGGCACTGATGAATCGCTTCCAGCCGCAAGACTGATGACTCTGGTGGCGATGCTTCAAGTAACTACCCATGAATACATATTTCCAAATCCCAACACAGTGAAACACACCAGGACGTGTGCACTACAACAATTACATGTGGAAATGTGGACATGAGCTGCTCACACACACACACACACACACACACACAGGAGATGTCCAACAAAAGAGAAAAAGCAGGAGGAGAAGAAGCGTGAATAAAGAGAAGTGCCACACACACACACACACACACACACACACACACACACACACACACACACACACACACACCCCTTCAAAGAGGTGGATGAACATACTAATTATTCCCCCTTCAACTCATCATGCTGCACAAGCCATAATTTGTTTCCCATTACACTGTGGATTTAATCAAGTCAAGCAGACACAGAGAAGACCACGGCGGCAGCAGTCAGTGAGCAGATCTCAGCGTAAGAGAACATAACATGGTGAGGGGAAAAAAAAATCCCATCACTGTGGATCTGATTATGGTTGGTGCTGGTTAGATATGGATGGATGCACACATGCAAATAGGATATTTAAGTCTATGATTACCTGCACAAAAAGTTTCACTTGATGTATTTGTGCAACTTCCCCCCTCCGCCGGGCTTTTTCTAATTGGTATTATTGTTGGCACGGCGTGTTGAAATGAAAGCGGCACATAGCAACCCAGGAAAAAACGTTTCATAACGTTTCCCCGGGAGATGGTACCCGTGTTGCATGGTGAAAACAAGGCTAATAAGACACGTATGGAAACGCAGATTGGTCTCCTTACTCCACACCTGCCCAGCTTGTCCCCACTTGGAGTCAACGGCACACTGCTTTAGACGCAGGCCAGGACTGACGGACCCCGCTGCTGTACAACCAGAGGAGTTCTAAAGGGCTCGGAAACACTACCACTTTAGCCCACGGGGGCCGCCAAACTCAACACAACGAGAAAGTCACTCACGGTAGCTTCTCAGTCTTTCAGTGTTCCAGCTACTGTGTTGGTTTGATATGTCTATCCATCTTTTTCTGTCCTTTTCTAAACCCTGTGATGAACGACAGATCCTTTCTCTTGGTAGAGTGGAGGTGTGAAGGTAAACAAACGTCTCTGAGTTCAGTCCGATCCCTCCTTAAGCCCCACTGTGACCGAAACTAAAGGCCTGAAAACAAAACAACAGACAGGGAAGAGCTGCTGTTTAAACCAAACACACTAATCGATGGATGGCAGATGTGAAGTAATTCAAGGGAGACAGACGGATGGAATACCAATAATATGGCCAGGGGGTCTGCATGTTAACAAAGATAAATTTAAGACCCTTTCAGATCCTGTCCCTGTCGCCTGGAACCTCATTAGGAACTTAAGGCGTTGTAAAGAACAGAGCTGTCAAACAAGGTATACCTGTTTGATCACAGCCATTGAAGTTTTGAACTACTTGGGCAAAACACGACATTGGGAATTTACTTCAAACAATAATATGTAGCTTTTCATGGAAAAAACACACTTCCTTTAACAAAGGAAAGTTGAAATACAAAGAAAAGAAATGCGCCGTGGAAGTATTAAAAACGTAAAGTAGCTTAAAGTGGCTAAGGAAAATAAATTAATAACTTGTTCTCTTGGTTTTTGGGGTGAATCTGAAACAAAATGTACCGACTCCTCATCGGCAATAACAGCCCACAGTAAATAATCTGCGCTGTATCGATGCTGGTGAACGCAATAAAATCATTAGATCTGCTCTATTTTGGGTGAACTGTTTCCAGAGCTACTGAGAGGCATGCGTCCCGGTTTTCTGATGGAAACTCTTTGTTCTTCCAGTCACATCCCGTACTGGGAATGGAAGCTGGCATTCATCCATTGACATCCACAACAACACAACTGTGTTGGTCCATCTGATGGGAGTCCAATGTTGTCTTTGTCAATTGAAGCAGATGTCACGGCGGCCTACTTTCCAAAGCACTGTTACCAACCAGCACGCTCTACATCCTCTTATCTAATGAGAGTAATTACAAGCTCAAAGCTGTCGAACCACTGTTTGGTTTATGACGTCTCCGTACAAAAAAGACCCTACTGCAATATCTTCATTAATAGAGATGGCGCACAAATGATCGAAGGGTTGAGCATATATTCTTACAGCAGCCTCACATGCTTTGAAACTAATTGGAAGACATTATCAGGCAAAACGAAAGCAATGATATCTACAGCAACTTGGGAATGAATGTCTCCTGTTGACTGAGGTTTGTGATCTCAGTCAGCTTAATTTCCCACAGTCGGGAGTATGAGTCATATCAAAAGACTAAAAACTAAAAAGTCTCAGTTTATTTAATTCACCAACAGGAAGCATAGTGGTGTCTTTTTGTCATGATGCTGGGCCAAGTCGCGGCAATGCAAAGGAGCACGCCGAAAACCAGACTTATGTTGACCTAGAAGTAGGACTTGTTGAGTGAATATTCAAAGCTTTGACTAATATAGCAAATTATCATAGCAGGTATTTGAGCTTTCATTATAAATCCAGAGATCAGCCTCATTATCAGGATCTGATACGAATGATTTGTTGCAGTTTGTTTGGCTAAAAGGTGTGTAGTTCTATTTTATTTATGTATGCTATTTGGTTTTCTATGGTAAATCTGTTCTGGATTTACTTTTTTAAGTTTAATTTGAACCAATATAACATATTAAATTATTTTATTTTATACGTTTGGACATAGTGTTTATTTCCGCCGAGTCTCTTTGTTTGTGTCCTCCTCATACACGCCATGACCTTGGCTACTGTGCTTTTCTCCCCGCGAGGTCTCGCCCTCTCTCGTCTTGAAATGTATTGTACTTTTCGCCCACGGGCCGAGGGAAATGTGAATAGCAATAGATTCACAGTAGGCATCTTAATTAGAGGCCTTAAATCATGGCTGCCTTCCACTGCCTCGGGTTACTGCTGAGGAGAGAGCAAGTGTGTGTTCTTTGTGTGAGTGTTTGCTTTAAAGAAATCTCTGGCTACACTAAATACCAGACCTTCCTTTGCTGTCGAAAAGTGCCTCAGGGTGGTGAGAAAGTGTTCCAATCAATACTATGAAAGAATGATAAGGAAACCTGTAAGGGTTTCCTTCCTTGTGTGTGGGAAATTATATTACTTGAACTTGAAAATGAAAGCATTAAAGCCAAAATATTACTAAACGTAATTATTAGAGTAAATTAACATATGTCAGAATATGATTATATGTAAGAAACAAGCTGTAGCAGCACACAAATGCCATAGAGCCATTTGTAATCATTCTGAAACTGTGTTGACACAGTCCACAAATCGCATCATGAATGGTTAAACAGAAGAGCTTGTTCCCAACACTGTGCCAAAAGCCTTACGGGAGTAAATCTAAAGCCATCAGCCATGAGAAGCAGAAGCAGTGTAGTTAAAACAGTTCTGGTGGTTAATGCTAAGCCAACATTAAGAGCAACACGGCTTCTCTGCAAGAAAGTCCCCCATTTTTTGTTCGGGGTGCGAGCACACTGTCAATAATATCACATTACCATCAGGAGGGAAACCACGACAGCCCAAGTAGGACCTTAAATTCATCTCGTTCCCACCAACATTTCACCACTTCTTCCTTTTTCTGCATCTCTAAATAAAAGTACAAACTAGTTGGCCTAAATGTTAATAAGCTGTCTTTGCTAAGCAAGGCGGAAAAAACGAGCTTGACGACAGAGAGCCACTTCACTGGGTCACCCAGCGAGACAACCTCTCTAGTCTGTACTAATAGGGCCATCCTCCATCTCAGCCTATTAATCAAACTCCAACACCCCAAGAGCTGAGGACTGATTGCTTTGGCCTCAGAGTCTGTAGCAGGAAGAGCAAATCTGTCCCACATTTATTTTTATTCAGTCAGATGAGGAAAAAAAGCAGTAGGAAAAAGTTAGCTTTAACAATGCAGATGACAAGATTGTTTTAATCCAAGCTCATACTATGTTTGAGTTACTACAATCTACAATGGTCACGTGAAGGTGGGCAGCTAATTCACAGACACATTAACTGGATATGTGGCTCTTTAAAGTCCAAATACAATTTGTTTTAAACTCATTTCCTCCATATTTGTGTAAGAAATTCCCCTCATATTGTCTTTCTGGAGAAACTAAATGTGACGTCGTGACATCCTGGCAAACCATTCATTAACCAATCGGCGACCAGGGATGTGTGTGGGGAGCCAGTCTTCTGTTCCCCATCGCACGGCATTCTAAGCCTGCTTTCTACTGTGCCTACTGTGAGAGTGACAGAAAGTGTTGAGAGGAAATTGGGTAAAAAGTTCCGAGGCCTGCAACTGCAAGTCAACATTGTAGGAAGCTACATGTGAGTACAGGAAGTATCTGTGTGAAGGCATTTTCTACTGCCACTACATTTCAATTACGCTTTCTATTAAGTTAACAATTACACATTTTATTATTGAAACTTTAAACGTAATTTCTAAGATGGATGAAGAAGATACATTTGACATTTGAAGTTCCACACTCATTGTAAGACTTTGCCCAAACCTCCTCTTGACTATTTACTTCACTATTAATCATATTGATTCAATAAAGAAAAGGAAACTGACATTTCTTATGCTTTCCCAAAGTAAAAACTAATTTTAAATGGCATTTAATTGAGCAATATTGATCGTATATTCTCTGTTAATTACATATTACATTTATAAATTAGTTCAATTGTCACAACCTTTTGTAATTTAAACCTTTTCGTACACACTAACATCTTTTGATTTAACCTACCAAATAAATTATTTTGTCCCCAACTGTATTAAGACGCTCTAATAGGTCTACTGAACAGAATATCTAACTCAAAGAGAAAGAGACCTTCTTAGAGATCGTTGTCTTTTATTATCATTTCACTCATCATTTCAATTTCAATTATTTAATTCAAAGCTAAATTCTGGGGAAAAATGCTCCTCTGTCCATCTGTCCGCAGAGACACCAGATTTGCTCTGGTTAGGGTGGAGTCTGTGGCAGATCAATCGGACAACTCAATCGGATATTAACAGCATTTTCCGCTCAGTTAGTGTCAATCAATGGGTTTAAACACACCCTTACACACAGAGGGAGAGAGAGAGAATGTATGAGACACTTATCCTGACTATCCGGAGTCGTCTAGTGCTCGGCTGCATCATTGATTATTAGTCTGTTTTTCAAAGGAACTTTGTGAAACATTTGTGAAGGGTTATTGGGAGAAATTGATTAATCTAGTGCTGGGCAACAACTACAATTTTTAATCGGCGCAATGAGCAGAGAAATCAGCAATACTGATCAACATCCCTCTTGCACGCAGTCCGCCCATGTTGCACTCAGCCCAAGGCTAAATTATTAATGATTGGAGGCTGCGATGGAGACAGTGAAGTGAATCAAGTGAAGTGAAGATTAAGGGGGTAAACCGTGGTGTTAAATTGGTCTTTGGAGATATTATACCTTGCTAGAGAATTGGTAATACGGTGACAATCACATGGGACGTTTGCTTTCAAGAATACTCACAAACCAAGAAGTAGCCAGCGAAACGCAAAACCTCTTGGGGACGTCTGTATTTATGTCTGAATGGTTCCTATCATTCAGATGGTGGTAATGTGTGCTGTGAATCCAGTCAGAAATGAAATAGATTAATCCGGTCTTTTCATTTTACTTGACATTTTGTCCAGAAAAATTGTTTGGTGGAAGAAGCAGCAAAGACAGGGTATTACTTCCATGTTGTTTATCTCGCTCTCTGAAGTGAATACAGAGCAGTTGAACAAACCAGGTTCACTTGTTATTGAAGCAAGAACGCGCTTTAAACTGTGGCCTCGTTTCTCTGCGCGACTTCGCGCCCTCTTGTGTTTTTTTTTCTTTTTTTAGATAGCTCGAGGGCAGAGTGATGAAAAACTGGAGAGAGAGTAAAGCGAACAAGGCCATGGAGTGGACCTCCAGCACTACGTCCTCAAACTGAAGAACATAGTGGGTCACTGAAGGTAAGACGGATGGAGGGAAGGAGGACGGAGACCTACTCCAGAAGGGGATGTGAAAAATGAAGGAGAGGAAAGGAATTGAGAGTAAAAGAATGAAAGAAAAGGGAGGGTGGGGGGTGGGGGGGTAGGGACTAAGGGAGAGATGATAATTGGGCCTCATTTGCAAGTGTGCCTGTGTGTGTTTTAAAGATTTACTCTGCTTCAATCTGGGTCAAGGTTGTGTAGACGGTTGAACAACTCCTATCAGGACGGCTTCAGAAGCGATCATCTTTGTCCAAACCATCCACAGCAAATACTATATGTTCAAACTGGGACTCTTTCAAAACAAGCAAATCAAGCAATACACAAGTGATTGCTCGGTGTCTGGTATTCAAGTTATAATCCCTTCATTTTCCAATTGATAACTACTGTCAGTACCAGTAGCCTAAAGGAAAAGCAGCTCAAAGCAGTGAAATCAAACATGCACGTGCAACCATTCATTTAGGCAAAGACAAACGTTGGGTAAAAATCCCTGCTTTCCCAAAAAACATTTCCAAGAATCAGAATGTGAAATGAACAAATCACCAGTTTGTTCAAACAAGAGTGGTCCTAAGTGTGCATGTGTGTGCGGGCATGCATGACATGTGTGTGCTTCTAAGCTATGATAGCTCAGTCATGCAGGTAAAGTCATCATCACCAGCAATCTGCTCAGGCCTCTAGGCGGTGATGCATGCGGGTGCACACACACACACACACACACACACACACACACACACACACACACACACACACACACACACACACACACACACACACACACACGTGCATGCACATGAACACCCACACAGTCACTCCCTGAGGTGTTTCTCCCTCCAGAGAGAAGGACAAGAGGGGGTGATGAGTCCATTCACTTATATAGACAGAAAGAATATTAATTTGTCACAGCACGTTTATCGTCATGACAACGTGCCCGGTTAATTAAAGGTCTGACGAACAGCAGAGTGTCGTGTCTCTCTCTGGGGAACGACAGATAGAAAAGAAACGGAGGGAGAAGGGAAGAGTGCTGTGTTCATCGCTTGTGATTGACAGGCGGAGTGGAGGATGACAGGCCTCTGTGCATTCCTTGGTGATACTGATATCGTATTATATGTGCACTTGTTAAGTACAGCCACTACTTTGACTTCAAGGAACGATTATCATGACACAGCAATTGTTGGTATAGGAGCTTGGATGCAAAGTCTGGTTTCTGCTTCTAAAAAAAGAAGAGGATCTTCATCTCAATCTTGATGGCCTCTTTATGGACAATTTATAAAGATATGAACCTGATCCATAAGTATGTACGTAAAAACTTCTGAAAATAATGATGACAGACACTTATACTAACTACTAATTTCTGTGTTAGCTTATTGAGATATATATATATATATATATATATATTGAAGAAAAAAAAAAAAGTTAATAAAAAACTGCAATATCGTTTAATAATGTCATTGTGTGAAACTAAAATAGTCTTGTGCTCCCTCTCAGAATTGTATTTCCTCAAATTTTTTCCACATAAATAGTAGCTTCACATTTTTCAAAAGAAATGCCATACCATGGTTACACATCCAAGCTCTTTAAAAAGGAACACATCATCAACCAGGCTGGATCCCGTCCAACATCACAACGTGGCTTTCCAGCTCCTCCTTTATAACTGTCTGTGTGTGTGTGTGTGTGTGTGTATGTCAAACCTAGCAGCAGCCCCTTGACAGCCTGTCACAGCGCATTAACAAAGGCTGACTGTGGCCCAGAACCCCGTCATCGTACTCAGAAACTTTCTGTTTGTCTTCTTCACTCCAGCCGAGTTCCAGAGCCAGCCGCTGGCGTTCAGTCCGGGATGAAAAACCCAACGACTTCTGTCCGACAAGCCCGCTCGCTCAAGTAAAACTAAAACCTCTCAGCTCTGCCGTATGAGAGGGAAACAGAGAGGAGCTTGTGTTCATCCGGCCCACGGAAACACCGCAGAGCTCTTTAAAGTCAAACCATAAAAACAGACACGCTGCCTCAAATGCCACCCGTGTGAAAGAGTGTGTGTGTGTGCTCTACCTCTTGAGGTTAAGCAGAGCCCAGGGGATCCCGGTGGGCGTTTTGAAGGCGGGCAGCAACTTTTCACCCAGCTCCACCGCCTTCCTACGATACACCTGAAAAAAAGAAAGACAGCATCCCGTTAGAGGGGGATTTCTACCTCACATTCTCTACACCTAACCACGCACACCGACAGCAGTTACTCAATACTTTGACCATGGAAACATACCAGATCAGCCCTTGAAGGAGGGAAGACAAGGCATTGTAATCATTAGATATCTCCAACTACTGATCATATCTTCATCATGATTATGCTGAAAGTTGTTTTTTATATCAACTCACCGCTTGTTATGATATCAATAAGTCCATGGTCAGTCAAAAATCCCAAAGATATTCAGAATAGTATTATTTAGGACGAGGTCGGGCATTAGATGTGTTAGACGTGTTTAAGAATCTAGAAACAGCAAACTATTGTTTTATTTCTATTTTCATCAATAATCAAAATAAATGTTCTTGACTGCTTGCAAATCTACTAAACTTTAAAAAAAGTTTTTTTAAAAATTGAAGGGAAGCAAACAGAACCCAAGAATATGCTCCAGTACCAAGGCCAATGTTTCAAACAGGGATATCCATGCAAGGCATGTAAGATGGATTCCAAGAAAAAGGTAGTGAAGTAATGAGGTGTTAAGTCTGGAGCTGAAGAAGAAGCGTTACTGCTACATACAGCGAACATTTGGTACAAGAACACCGATTTAATTTAAGTGTTCTATACCACTGACTTGTGGTGCTCCTGTGAAACTAGATACATGTATGGCTTAAAAACTAAAATCAAGTAAGTAGAAAAAAACATCACAAATAAACATAATACAAGAGAACATACATTATCAATGTAATTTTGAAGCATTTATTTAACATTAAGCTTAACAAATGAGGAATTAAGTTCACGTCAGCTAGAAAATACTTTTCAACAGTTTCCTTACTTAAAAAAAGTCAAGTCTTTCCTGATTCTATTTGATTTTCAAATCAAACAAAAAGCTTTGATCTGACGCGGATGAGGAGGCAGCCTCAATTGAAATGCAGGTTGTAGCTCCTGCACATCATCTCCCAGAGGGAGCGAGCACCGAATATTATTCATTCTCAAATGGTTCAATTACAAAGGACCATATTCACTCCAAATAATCAAATTCTTATTCAATATTTACATTTTCTCTATATACGTAGCTGGTGTGCGGTCGCACGTCCTATAACCAATTCCAAAACCTTGTGCGTTAATATACAGTAGTTGGTAACGTTTCATCATTGGGTCAACGCAAACTTGAGTGAATGAGTGGAGTGAACAGCACTCGTATCCTCTGAACATCATTCCTCATGAGATCAAGCACACGGCCTCTCTTTTGTTAGCATTCCCTCCGTTATTCTTCCTTGCAGAGTAGAAACACCTATCGCATGCACACAGGCAGACAGAGTGGGGTGGTGGGGGGCGAAGGCATTACAATAGCACCGTGTCATCAAGCGGGCAGCTCGGTCCCCAGAGGGTGTACCGCTCAGCCGGCCGGGGGAGCCGGGTCGTCTGGAGGCTCCTTATCAAAACAATGTGCCAACTTGACAGCTTTTCCTTCAAAAGGTCTGAAGTATTGAAAAGTTACAATGCTGGCCGAGGAGGAGAGTTCACAGGAATACGGTGCTGGTGGAATGAAGATACAGTCAATCTAAAATTGAAATGTCTGTTTGTAGCAGCAATTAAAGTGTGCAGACAAGCAGAGGTGACCGACTTTTAGATGGAGGGCTTGAGGATGGGATCCCTAACACGAGGGAAAGCGCTACAGTAGAATAACAGATTCCTTTACGCCTGAGCATTGATGTGTAAGTGGAGAATACGCTACAGGCTTAACCCTGCCTCTCCCCTGCTTTACTGACAGGTGTATGGGCCCCTCCCAACACAAATTACACAAATGAAGGCTTGCATTAGGGCCAAAGCTGTGGATGGAATCTGATTTCAGTCCTGTTTTAAGTGAAGCGAAGGGATGGAAGGGAAGGTCTCTACAAGGATATTAACATTTTAAGTATGTGCGTTGGTGTTCGAGTGTGTTCCCCCAATCAAGTTTCCAGGTCCAGCTCCCTTACCATAAATGTTGGTAGTGTGTGTGTGTGTGTTTCAATGCGACGCAGTCTGCGGAGTGTCAACTACACCTAGCACCCTCACTAGTGGAATTAGCTTATGCCTTCAACACGCTGCTCTTCAGATACTCGTGTCATCACAAGCTTAGTTCATTGTGAGGACAATAGGGCACGCAATAAGTCAAGCTGGGAGCGAACATTAATCATTTCTACTACAGATAGTCTGCTGCACTTAAAGACTGTATATTTCTTATTTGAACCGATCATTTGACTGGCTTAGAACCTCCCCTACTAAACATCATCTGGGATGTTACTGCTTGTTGAGTAGACAACCTCATAAAAGAATATTCGCTCACTCACACACATTATCGTTTTGTTTCTAATACCGTCAGGTTCAACATGTATGTGCAGTTGTGCTCATAAGTTTACATACCCTGGCAGAATTGATTAATGATTTCTTGGCCATTTTTCAGAGAATATGAATGATAACACAAAAACCTTTCTTTCACTTATGGTTAGTGGTTGGGTGAAGCCATTTATTATCATTCAACCGTGTTTACTCTTTTTAAATCATAATGATACCAGAAACTACCCAAATGACACTGATTAAAAGTTTACATACCCTGGTGATTTTGGCCTGCATGCACACAAGTTAACACAAACGGGTTTGAATGGCTACTAAAGGTAACCATCCACACCTGTGATCTGTTTGCTTGTAATCAGTGTGTGTGTGTGTGTGTATAAAAAAAGGTTTCTGGGCTCCTGACAGACCCTTACATCTTTCATCCAGTGCTGCACTGACGTTTCTGGATTCGGAGTCATGGGGAAAGCAAAAGAATTGTCAAAGGATCAGCGGGAAAAGGTAATTGAATTGTATAAAACAGGGAAGGGATATAAAAAGATATCCAGGGAATTGAGAATGTCAATCAGCACTGTTCAAACTCTAATCAAGAAGTGGAAAATTAGGGATTCTGTTGAAACCGACTGTCAGGTAGACCAACAAACATTTCAGCTAACTGCCAGGAGAATTGTTCAATGGCTACAGCGGAATAAAGTAAAGGTTCTGGAGTGGCCATCTCAGTCTCCTGACCTCAGTATCATTGAGCCACTCTGGGGAGATCTCAAACGTACAGTTCATGCAAGACAGCCCAAGAATTTACAGTGGTTCACCCAACCACTAACGATGAGTGAAAGAAAAGTGTTATCATTCATATTTTCTGAAAAATGGCCAAGAATCATACATTCTGCCAGGACATGTAAACTTTAATGAGCACAACTGTATATTGTGAATCTTTTTCAAGGTGAGATTTGTGGTGGCACTGTTGACACCAACTTACTCCACTTTTTGTGTGCGAGTGTGTTTTAAGCTCCACTGTGGTGACGTGGGAGCGGTGTCGTAACAAGGCCACACATCCCATTGATTAATTGCTTTAATAATGCCAGGAGCACACTTAGGGGGGAAATAAAAACTCCCAGGAACGCACAGAAGATTAAATTAAACACGCCCTATGTCCAAGTCCATCAAGCACACTGCCAACAGGCTTTAATGAGCAATTGAATTATACAGAAGCCCAGGAGAACTTGCACACACATGTGAAGCGTATGGCTGATGTCAATAGTAAAAACGTATGTTAATAATCACATTTCACACCTTAACACATTTGGAGTAATAGCTGATAGCTAAAGTGAACAACCTTAGGTTGGTGCTTTCGCTTTTGCGTGCAATTGACTGGGAAAAATTGGTTACCATCAGTGTAAAAAGTCGCTTGTGGAGCGCACCAGTGACTGTTATGTCTGCTGAAAGGTCCACAGGGTGAGAAAGGCTGTGTGATTATTATTTCATGCCTTTAAGTATGTCTGTCATGCTGTGATCTGGGTAGCGGAAGGGGTTTATTAATACGGGGAGAGAAAAGTGAAAGAGATGAGCGCTCAAAACGCAGTCTCATACTGGAACGGCACGCTTTGAAGGTTATACAAGATGCGATTGAATAAGAAATCCTACTCCCACTCCAGGGAGAAGCCTCTCTAAGCTATTGCCAACCCCTTCGCCACGTGCCAACATGACTGATGGATACCAGCAATACCATCTCACCGCAGGCTCCGCCGCAAGCTCCACGGGGCTGCGCTACTTACCGGCTGCTAACGTTAGCTTGCTTTCCAAAACACACACTTTTTGATCACAATATAGCATAGTTAATTGAAAAATACCGGCACTGCGCAGTAATGGGGAGTTCACCGCGCCAGAGCCGATTGAAGACGCCCATAGTTGTGATATAAAACATAATAAACAAGACAAACTGAATAACTGAAGCAGTGACATTTAAAGGCCTGATTAGTGCCAATAGATGGACAGATGCAGTTAACGGGTAGTTCACCCTTCAAACAACAGCCGGCCTGATGGAGACTATTCAGGTCAGGGGATCCTCACAGGTTCAGGACAAAGAGAACATGACAGGAGGCGATGAAGCTGCCGAGATGAGGAAGGACAAGAACAGTCGAGTGGAAAGAGGAGAACATTTATTTTTCTTTCCCTCCTCTTGAAGTTTGGGCATTATGTTTGCCTCGCTCACACTCACAGAACTGAAGGGAGCTTTAGATGGTGAGGAAAGGAGAGAAGAAACAGAGGGAAAACTGAAGGGGGAGTCTATTTAACATTCAGATACATTCATGCAACTTGTAGCACAACAGGGTTTTACTTGTAAACCCGTTCCCTTGTTTTTTTCTGTGTGTGTCTGTGTGTAATCTGTGTTTTGTATTAACCAAATACATTTCAGCCTCTTTTTTATGGCGTTTTCAAGCCACTGTTTTCGTTTTGGGGTGAACTCGGGTAAGAAAATTAGACAACCAATTAATTTATGCAATAGAAAAATAAATTCATTTTGAGTGGCTTGTGGTCAAACATCGGTTTGGCAATCACTATGTTTAATGTTATCACATGTAAAGCCAGACTACGTGGCATATTTCCTGTGAGTGACTCAAGTGTAAGTGAGAAGGGCCG